ACAAGTAAAACACTAGCTATTTTAAAAAGCAACAGGTTTAGAAAAATGTGAACCCTCTAATCAAGGGAATAAATATGCTAGATCAGCGATTTTCAACCTTCCCCATTTCACAGCATAAACTACACTTTTACTAAAATTCTGCAGCACACCCCAAAATATACTTTTTACCCCATCTGACAAAAAGGGTATAACTTTGATTCGTTCACACCGGATGGCTATGTTGTGTTGGCTGTTGTCATTTTTCATTTGGAAATCGAAGGAAAAAGAGGTCAGTGCTCCTGACAAGTAGTCAGGGATTGCATGTTTTAAAAATTCTTGCAGCTCACCAGTCGAAAATCACTGTGCAAGATCAATAAACCACAAAGCTAGTTGTTTTAATAGAACAACAGACACTTTAAACTACTCCGCTGAAGGAAAAAAAGTAAAAGGAGAAAAGGAACCAATTTCCAAGCGAATTAAAGAGCTAAATAAATGTAAAAGAATAAAAGAACAGAAAACACAGGTTTTTAAAATACTGAATGCTACTTTCTATGAACGCATTTTGTAAAAAGCTAGATCAAAGAGACAATTTTTTTTTAAGATGTAAATTGTGAAAGTTGGAAAAAACAACCACAATGGCTTTTACACTAATTCCTACTAGGGAAAAACATATCCCGCAATAGTAAAATTATGGAATTCCAACAATTTTCATGATTAGATAATCCACTTTATATAAACAATTCCAGAGCAAGCGAAAAACGCCAGTCTTCTTAATTCTTTGAGGACAGCATAAGTCTCAGGCTAAAACTGAGCAAGAATAGTGGGGGGGAAAAAAAAAACACGGGAAAGGGCATGAAGATCACATAGGATTTTAAATTCCTACGTAAAACAGCAGCAAATCAAATACACCAGATGCCCATTAAAATAACATAATGACCACGGATGGTGTATTACAAAAAGTTTTATTTAATATTAGCAAATCTAATTGCAAAATTCACTATATTAGTGGGTTAATATATTATCATCTCTGTAGATGAAGGAATTTTATAAAATGCAACATGTATATTCATCAAATCTCAAAGTGAGCAACAAATACCATGAAATCCATCTATACCTACATTAAATATTATATAAATGATGAAATATACAAAACCTTTATAAGATGGCCCAAAACAATACAATTCTTATGATCCACATGAGGGATGAGATGATAGGTGAAACCATAAACTTTTCACAACTCAATACCATTTCCAAGAAAATTTGTTATGGAACTTGAAAAAAATGTTCCTAAAATGCATGCACAAAATAAAATTTTGAAAAAGAATACAGCAAATGTAATGAAAGAAAAGAACAGTGGGTTGAATGGTTTGTCAGAACTGATATTCAAATATAACAATCTAGTATTGTGCAGGAATTAAATAAAAATAATCAATGGAACAGAATAAATTATCTAGAAACAAATATTTATATGGGAACTGCTCCTATGACTAATGTTGCATTTCAGGTGATTGGGTTAATTTTGGACTTTTTAAACAAGTGGTCTTTGGTAAATAGACCATGTATCTGGAAATTTTTATGAGTTAGATTTCTACCGGATACAAACCAATTTCCAAGCGAATTAAAGAGCTAAATAAATGTAAAAGAATAAAAGAACAGAAAACAATATAGGATAATTAGCTTATAAGTTGGAGATGGGAAGATCTAAAAAATCTAGAGTTGAAAATACTGACAGAGAAACCCTCTTCAAACAAAAATTTCAGTGAGACCAAAACACCATCGATGAATTTACAGGATTAGCGAACGACCAGGGGGAAAAATGCATATAACGAGTTCTTACTAATTAATTGGAAAAACCAAGTAATTCAATAGGGAAATTAAAACAGACAATTTAAAGAAACACAAATAGCTAATAAACAAGAAAAAAATCACCAATCCATCTCATTAGCGATCAGGAAAGCCGTAATTAGCATGAGGTAGCTTTTGTTGTCCATCTTATTGGCAAAACGTTTAAACCTGTGCAAGGTCCAAGCCTGTGCAGGAGGAGGGTCAATGGATTTTTGTGTCGTGCTGATAGGAGTGTCAATTGGTGCGGTCTTTAACTAGGGCACTTTGGCCATATTTCATCAACATTCAAAATGCATCTACATCTATCCTGGAAAAGGACCCACTGCACCGAGACCCAGCACTCCGCGTGCTGTGTTTTATTGGCAATGTTGTGGAAGAGATCCCAGTGACTGGGTTCGACCTGGGCAGATGGCTCTGGATGGGATCCATAAACCACGCTCAGAAATAGTCTTCAAGGTTTTAGTTTGCCACATCGTTACGTTCATTTCACAGAGGACTTGAAACTAGTACCGTGGCCTGACTCACAGGCTCCCTTGTGAGATTGTCGTACATTCTGTGGTTTCTGTTTTGAGCTACACACAATCCTCTTGCCAAGGCAGGAAGTTGCGGGCTTTTAGAAAGTCCCATCTTCTTTGAGCGAAAGGGCACTTTGAGAAGGAACCAGGAAACACTATAATTTCAGCCATATTTAATTCACTTCTCTCCATTCTTTAATCTAGCAAGCCCATCTCCAACCATCTCATTGAGAGAAACACCCCCAGGCCGAGACACAGATGTGAACTGTCCCATTGTTTCAAGTAGTGAAAAAAAATGTGAAACTACTTAAAAAATGGTTAAATTAACTATGTTCATATTAAAGAATACTACATAGCAATTTAAAATGATATATACATATTTATACTAATATGGAAAAATATCCAAGACACATGCTTAGTGAAAAGGGCAAGTTACAGAAAATATATCACATGTAATCCCATTTTCATGAAAACATAGTCTTTATAGAAATCTATAGATATAAAAGCCCAGTGACCGGAACGGTAGAATGACTGACCAGAGCGGCTGGAACGACTGGTCACTATGACACGCACTGTGGCACCAAGCGGCCGGATCTGGCCCTGGTTGGCCACCCCCACAACCACCTACGGCCCCTCCCCCCAGCCAGCCCCACCCCTGATCTCCCCCCCCCCCCCATAGGCCTCGATCTCCAGCCAGGCCAAGGGACCCCACCCATGCACAAATTCATGCACGGGGCCTCTAGTGTGGGAATAAAAATGCTTATTAAAAAAATTAGAAATTACACATCAAACGGCTAACAAAAATTCCTCCAATAGCAGGGCGGGGGCTTTCAGCTTTTACTGGTTCCTGTTTTGTTTTTTTGAAAAGTGTTTTCACAAGGAAATAGATTCATGTATTACTTCTGCAAATAATGATAAGTTTTGAAAAATAATGTTTACATTTACTGATTATATATAGAATGCTTATTATTATTAATGCTCAAAGTTTATGCATATATGAGATGTAGTCTGTGACGGTACAGTAACTATCAGAAAATTATTAGAAGAGTGTTTCCCAAGGGAGGAAAATTTTAAATATTGCAAAATTTGAAATAAAAATCTGTAATAGTGTCATTAGTAAATAAATAAGATAAAAATACAGCTCAGTTTTCATTTGGGTGTACAGCAACACAGAGGCACCGTCTAAGAATACATTTTAGAAAAGACTATTTCAATTAGTAAATTTAGTAAGTTTCATTATGGAAATTCCCAGAGGCAAGCTCTGGCATTTAATTATTACAAAAATAACACAAAAGGACTGGAGTTCATTAGAGGAGGTATACTGTATAGATGTTTCTCAGACTGTACAGCAGAAGCATATATTGTATAATAAGGATCATGAAGCAAATAGAAAGACACAGTGAGAATTCCTTCATCTCTTAAAATTCACTATGAATCACGGTAACATACAGAAACCATTTCACAATAGTAAGAACATTTCCATTTTCTTCCTGTGACTATATCAGGCTAATACTACATTGTACACTTGAAATTTTCTTAGCAAGTAAATCTTAAGTGTTGTCTGCACACAACCACACCCAAACAACCACACAAAGGTAACTATGTGAGGTGACGCATGTCTTAACTTGATTGTGGAAATTATTTTATAATGCACACATACATCAAATCATCACATTGCACACACACACATACTACATATATATGAATACACACACACACTTTTATTTATCAATTATACCTCAATAAAACTGGAAAAAAATGGCATGTTGTTGCAGAAGACCAAGAAAAACCCAGCAACGCCCAGAGAAATGGAGTTACACCATTTATTCGCCAGCGGGCCCAGAGGGAGACGTCTCCCAAACTTCTGAGCAAAAACATGGAGGAAGCTTTCCCTATGTCTATCTTTCTACCCCTTTGTCTCCCAAATAAGGGTTTTTCGGAACCTTATGTTAGATTACTAGCCTACAAGGTCAGACAGCCAAGTTTATCTTCCCTATTATTCAAGCAGCTAGAAAGCCAAGTTAATTTACAGAACAATGGACCTTCTAAAAAGCAGGGAATTTCAAATAGTAGTTTTACAAAACAGGGGTCACTGTGCTTTAGGGTGACCGTCCAGTTTGGTTCTGCTTCTCTAGGAAGGCTCTACATGTTGGGAATCAGCCTTTAGCCTTCTCACCGTCAACGAATGGAAGTCAGTCAAACCCACCTCCATTTCCCTCAGTACATGCACCGTGGCCTCAGTGAACTGCGGAGAATTGCAGGTCTGCAGGCCAGTCCCGTCCCCTTTCACCGCGGTTTTCCTTTTGCGGTTGCACGAAGGAGAGAGGCCCGTCAGAGTCAGTGGAACCACGAGCCGGAGCAGAAGGGAATTAAAGCGCAGGTGACAGGAGGGACTGCACAAGCTCTGCCCTTAAGGATGGATGTGGGGACCCGCCAGGCCCGGCTGCTCCTGCATCCCTCGGTGCTCGTCTCCTGTGGGGACGGGAAGACCCACATGGACCTTCCGCTGCTCCTGGCCCCGCTGCCCGCCTAGGGTTCAAGGGTGAAAAGCGCAAGAACAAATACCAACCTGTGTACTGTTGTTCTCAACGCATCTCCAGGACTTAGGACTTTTGTGTCATTCAAAGCAGCTCGAGTGGAAAAAAAAGTTCAAACCAGGCACCAGATCCAAAATTAGCATTTTATTCAGAACGCTGGGGTGTTCATGTGTATTCTGGTACACAATACAGAGGCGAAGCTGTTGTCAGAAGTCTCTCCAGTTTAAAAGCTTTTTCCCCCCATTTTTTTTTCTTCTTAAAAACACACACTTAGTGCCGCCCGTGCCAGGCCACCCCTTTCCTTTCTTCTTCTTTTTTTTTTTTTTGGTACAAATTATGTAAAACATTTGTGCTAAGAACGTTTCTCCCTCCCCAAACAAAAACAAAAAAATTAAAAAAAATTAAAAAATTAAAAATTGAGTATTCTAACTACAGCTCAACAATCGAATCAAATGTCACTTGGTTTGTAAATACTTTACCATAACGAAAGATATAAACATGCAAAAACCTGAATCCATTGTCCAAATAATACATACACATGTTCTGCAGTTTCTCCACTTCTCCATAGACTATGCCGATAAAACATTATGTACACATACCATTTTTACAGTGAAGTGAAAAAAAACACACAGTAAATTTAAAAAAAAGTGTACATGGATTAAGACCCAATGTGTCTAACATTCTAGTTTATGAAAAAATTCAAATGTTGCTACAAATTGGTGATATGAAAACTCCCTTTATCTGCAACCAGCTGCATAAGTTTTAAGATTTTAGTGAAAAAAAAAATCTAAAGTCTAAAACTAGAAGTAATGTACATTTTCCCAACCTCATGGTCTCATCCCCCAAGATCATAAAAATTGCTCCATGAGTTTTTGTTTGTTTCCTCCGCAATTTTAATAAAAGCAAATGCAATGTAACCAAAGCGTGTTGAAGCGTATCATGGTTTAACTTACTGCTCCCACCACAAAATAGTTTGTATTTTACTTCTCGTCTCAGAAATCAGTACCATTAAAGCCTTAAACATAAAACTAATTCCAATCTGAAAAAGGTACAAAAAGGCACATAAAATCCCAGTGCTTCTGTACTGTAAAATTCAAGTGTAACTGAGCTCAGCGTCCCTCCAAACAGCGTCGGGCACTGATATTCCCGCGGAGCCCACACTGGTCTGCAGCCCGTGCCCACGCCTCCGGCAGGCGCGGTGCGAGTCGACTACACGTGAAAGCCTAGCTTCTGAATGCTTTTTGGGAATATCAGTTGAAATGGTCTGCACTTGTCCGGTCACCGAGTTCACCCTGAAGTTCAGTCGTCGCCGCCACCGTACATGTCGGCCAGCTTCTTGAAGCGGGGCCCCCAGTCGTTCAGGTAGTCGTAGTCCTGCTCGCCCCCGCTGCTGGACGAGTTGAGCGAGCTCAGGGACCCGGCCGTGGAGCCGCTGCCTTCGTAGTCAAACACCAAGAGGGAGTCGTAGGGCGGGGCCGTGGGGTCATTGTCCGCAGCTTTCAGGCCCTGCGGTTTGGGAGGAGAGAGAAGGGACGAGGAGGGGGTTACGACCGGCAAATCCACATGCAGGACCTCAGGGCTCCAGGGGACCCAGGGCTTGTCTGCCAGTGTCCACCTGCAGACCACGACCTTTCCAACCCTGGACACCGGGGTTGTCAGCATGTCTCAAAATTAAATGCGCTAAGTGAAATAAGCCCGTCAGAGAAAGGGGAGGAGCCCATGATGGCACTCAGTTGTTGAATCTAAAGAACAAAACAAGCCCTGACCGGTGTGGCTCAGTGGATAGAGCGTCGGCCTGCGGACCGAACGATTCCGGTCAAGGATTCCGGTCAAGGATTCCGGTCAAGGGCATGTACCTCGGTTGTGGGCACATCCCCAGTAGGGAGTGTGCAGGAGGCAGCTGGTCGATGTTTCTAACTCTCTATTGCTCTCCCTTCCTCTCTGTAAAAAATCAATAAAATATATTTTTTTAAAAAGAAAACAAGCTAATGAACAAAATAGATCCAGAGACACAGAACCATGCAACAGACTGAGGAATCTCAGAGGGAAGGGAGTGTAGGTGGGTGGGAAGAGATCAACCAAAGAACTTGTCTGCCTATATGCATAACCCATGGACACAGACAATGAAGGGTGATGAAGGCCGG